TAAGGTATTCTATAACAAGTAGAGGAGTGGAGAACTCTTCTTGTGAAATATTTCTGAACTTTCTTAACTGTGTTAATATCAGATACATAATGTGGGTTCCAGACTGATGAGCTGTATTCGAGTATTGATCTAGCAAAAGTTTTGTATGCTCTAGTTATTAGTGTGCTATTACTAGAGAAAAAGCTACGTAAGATTAGGTTAACAACTCTTAACGCCTTTTTGGCTATGTAGTTACAGTGGGCTCTAGCACTTAGATCATCTGAGATGAGTACTCCAAGATCCTTGACAGAGTTTGGATCATCAACAAGGTCTTGACTATTCAGCCTGTATTTTATTTTCTGATTTATTTATTTTTTTTGCCAATATGTAGGACAGAGCATTTATTTGTTGAGCTTTGAAGTTGCCATTTGTTTGACCATTCTAATAAATAGTCGAGGTCTTTTTGAAGGGTATGTTAACTATGTTATCAGTATCCTGCTTCTCTTCAATATTCCTCCTTTAAAAAATGAACATCCAAACATTATGAATTCAGGCTATTTTCAGCAAAATCTGAAATCATTTAAAGAATATTTGGGTCTGGAAAAAGTGAAGGACATCAGTACAATTCCTTCATCAATATTGCCTTCTTTACTAGACTTGGCCAGGGGGAGAGGAGGGAGTTCCAGGAGAAGGACTTTGTATAATGAGGGTAGACCTAGTTATACTATGATCTAATTTTAGCAGTCTGGCTCTCAAATATTCATAAATTTCCCAAAAAGAGATGGACTTACTTCCAATGTAGAGCTAATCAGCAATGGCTGAACTTATATTCACTGCGTAAGAAAAAAACGTTGCGGAATGTAATAAGTGTGTATTTAGTCACTGTTAACTCCCCACATGGAAGCTTGAAAATATACTCCAACTCTACTTTCAGAACGTCAGAAAATAGTTTCCTTGGTTCAAATCCAGTGCTGAACTTTGATGCACTCCCTATAACAGGAAAGTGCAGCCTACCTGGCTGGAAAATTCTGGAAGTCGAAGTCCACAAGTCTTAAAATTGCCAAGTTTGGAGACCTCTGCCTTATGATATTATGATGAACTGTAGATCCTTTTCAATCTCCCCAAGTCCAGCAAGTTAAATGCTTTAGTGTATGTCTCCTCCAAGCTCCTTCCCTAGTACATTTAATTTTATGTTTGATACACTGATGATAACTGAGGCATGGAAAAGAAAGATCCAAAATGAACCCATTTCAATTGTATAATTAGAACAGACAAAGATTTTATCCACCCTAAATTCTCAAATAACCATCTAACAATCCTGGGCACCCAGTTGATTGTCTTCATCAAGACAGCCTATCTTCATCCCCTATCTTCACTTTATATTTGCTCCAATGAAATTTTCCTCATCTTTCTAATTTTTCATGTGCTTGGTAATCACCAGGATCTGATGGATTACATCCCAGAGTTTTAAAGGAGCTGGCAGAGGTCATCTCAGAACCATAGCACCATATCTTTCAAAAATCCTGGAGCACCGGGGAACTACCAGAGGACTGGAGGAGAGCTGATGTGGTTCCCATCTTCAAAAAAGGGGGAAAAACAGACCCAGGAAACTATAAACATCAGCATAAACTATAAACATCAGCCTAACATCAATACCCAGGAACATACTGGAAAATATAAAAAAAAACATCTGCCAACATCTAGAAACAAGTAAAGTAATAACTAGCAGTCAGCATGGGTTTGATAAGAACAGATCATACCATAACAATCTTATTTCATTCTTCAACATAGTGACTAAATTAGTAGACCAGCAAAATACTGTGGACATAATATATTTAGATTTCAGCAAGGCGTTCAACAAAGTAGACCACAACCTTACTTCTTAGTAAGCTAGAAAAAAGTGGGATAGATAGCACCACCACTAGATGAAGTTGCAACTGGCTGACAACCTGTACTCAATGAGTAGTCCTTAATGGGTCTAATTCTACATGGAGGGAAGTAAGCAGTGAGGTGCCGTCTTAGGCCCAGTACTCTTCAATATCTTCATTAATGACTTAGATGAGGGAATAGAAGTGGAACTTACCAAATTTGCAGATGATACTAAGCTGGCAGGAAAAGCTAACACCCAAGAAGATAGGCTCAAGATCCAGATGATCTTGACAAACTAGAACTGGGCCATATCTAACAAAATGAAATTCAATGTAGAGAAAAGTAAAGTCCTACACTTAGGCAAGAAAAACCAAAAGTACACATACAGACTGGGTGAAAACAGGCTCAATAGCAGTAACTGTGAGAGGGATCTTGGAGTCTTAGTGGACAACCAGCTAAATATGAGCCAGCAGAGTGCAATAGTAGCAAAAAAAAAGCTAATGCAATCCTAAGTTGTATTAACAGAGGGATACAATCAAGATCAAGGGAAGTACTAATACCACTCTATAAAGCCTTAGTAAGACCACACCTAAAGTACTGCATCCAGTTTTGTTCACCACATTATAAAAAAGATGTTGAGACTAGAAAAAGTACAGAGAAGAGCAACTAGGATGATTAGGGGACTGGAGGCTAAAACATACAACGAACGGTTACAGGAACTGGGCTTGGCTAGTCTAGTAAAGAGAAGGACCAGGAGAGACATGATAGTGGTCTTCCAATATTTGAGGGGCTGCCACAGGGAGGAAGGGGTCAAGCTATTTTCTAAAGCGCCTGTAGGCCAGACAAGGAATAATGGATGGAAACTGAACAAGAAGAGATTTAACCTGGAAATAAGGAGAAACTTTCTGACAGTGAGAACAATCAACCAATGGAACAGCTTGCCCTTGGGAGTTGTGGGAGCACCATCATTTAAGACCTTCAAGAAGAGATTGGACTGCCATTTGTCAGAAATGGTGTAGGGTCTCCCGCTTGGATGGGGGGTTGGACTAGATGACCTGCAAGATCCCTTCCAACTCTGATTTTCTGTCTGTCTGCTTCTGTGGCTTTAGGCAACCAAGAAATAATGTAGATAATGTGCTATTTTATCAGATAGTACTCTTCTATATATCTTTCTCAAGATATAATTAGGTTTGGAGAGTACTGGGCCCTGAAAAACAGAATAGTGGTAACTAGAGTGCTGAATCATTCCTTTCTCATACATTGTATTGTATTTTACAGTACTGAGCCATGGTGGCGCAGTGGTTAGAGTGCAGTACTGCAGGCTACTTCTGCTGACTGATGGCTGCCTGCAATTTAGCAATTCAAATTCCACCAGGCTCAAGGTTGACTCAGCTTTGATCCTTCCGAGGTGGGTAAAATGAAGAGCCAAATTGTTAGCTGCAATATATTGACCGTATAAATGGCTTAGAGAGGGCTGTAAAGCACTATAAAGCAGTATATAAGTCTAAATACTATTGCTATTGCTATTAATTCTCCAAAGAAGGATGCCAAACTCATCATCACGTGGTGCATCATGACTTTTTCCCCTTCGCTAAACCAGGGGTGGGCGTGGCCAGCATAGTCACAGGCCACAAGTTTGACACCCCTGCTCCAAAGAACTAGCTGTGGAACACATCCTGAAGAAACAGATGGATGGAAATTGATCTGGAAGACACTCTTAAGTTACTCAGATCAAGTGGAGATACAGCAGTCTTCATTTATTTTGCTGCTATACTTTATACAGTTTTATAATGATAACTAGCTTTCTGCATTGGATCCCGAAGCTTAATTATAAGCAGTGCTGTGGCCTTAAAAGCAGTTATCTTATACTGGTAGAGTTGCCTTACCAAAGGTGTGGCTGCTGCATTCTGAACTAACTATAGATGTTGAGTTCACTCCAAAGCACTGAGTCTGATACAATTGTTCAGCCATATGATGCCTTAAGGTAGTCATCCAGGTGTCCTGGTCCAGGTAGGATCTTTATAGTAATGATCAAATTAGAGATTTTCAAATAGCCAGGTATTTATTTACAAATAGCAATTCTATTTTGGCTATATTTCATCTGATCTTTTGCCCCATCCTGATTGATTCAGGCTTTCCACAGCTTTTTCAAATTAGTCCAGAATTCTAATGGTGTCATCGTAATATCACTTTTCTCTCAGTGATCAGAGATTTTACAAAAATGTTAAGTACCAAAGGAAAAATTAGTGTCCTGCAGGACCTCACGCTAAGTTAATTAGAATTACAGAATTTGATGGCACCTTGGAGGTCTTCTAGTCCAACCCCCTGCACAAGCAGGTTAGCAGGAGATCCAGTATTATTCCAGACAAGTGGCTGTCCAATCTTTTCTTAAAAGCCTCCAGTAATGGTGCACCCACAACTTCTGAAATTAAAAGGTGGGAATTTCTTAGACAAATTTCTATGGGGCTATAATAGCACTATATTGGAACCATTGGGGAAATCAAAATGGTAACTGAGCGCTAGAAAAAGGATTCCAAGGAAAACTCAGGATAGCTGTCTATTATGAGACTGAGACCTATTACGGAGTTGGAACTTCATAGCTGTACAAAGATATCACATGCCAATGTGAACTGATCTAGTTTGCTCTATACACCAACAATTTACTTTCTAAAATGTGTGTTTGATGCATAAAGAAGACACTGAAATTTTGCCTGATCTGATATTTGCGTTTAGTGTGAGATGAAACTCTTCATCTCTCATCTCCCAACCAGATAATAAAGATTTAAGAACTGACTAGAGTGTCTTGCTCAGATAGGACAGAATCACAGTAAAAGTTATCTCCAGCAAAATACCAATATATCCTGCAAATACAGGCTTTTGATTTAATTAAACCCAGGGTTGGTGTGTTGGTTCTGTTTTAGTGTTAATAAAGCTTTAAAATTTAAAACAGTGGTGGCTACTTTATTTGACTTAAATATAACTCCTAAATATAATATAGTTATGTTTTTTAACATAGTCAATCCTTCTCTTCCCTAAGAAAAATGAAAACATTGATGAAGCTTCAAGAGAAAAAATGAGACAGGACAGCTTTAAGAAGAAAACAGGAAGTTGTAACCAGAATCCAGTTGAATTCTCAGCTGTGGCAGTGTGCCGAGAGGCTGCAAATAAGGCAGATGTGTTTGTTGTGCATTTTTATGCTGTCTAGGCTTTATTTTATAAAAGCAGGCATTCAGGATTTAATTTGTGGTATTTTCTTTAGTTTGGCATTTTTTAATTACTTTGTTAAAGTATATAAAGTAGTGTTAATAAAGCAAGATGAAGAAATTGCAGTCAATAAAAGATGAGGACAATTTTAATCATCAGGGTGCTGTGGAGCTATTGGTCTTTAATTTTTTGCTCATCCTTACGATCCTTACAATTTGGTTGTTTAAAAATCACAGATTCCGCTTTTTGCATGAAACAGGAGGGGCCATGGTTTACGGTGAGTGTTTTCACTGAAAAAGCTTAGCATTTAAACTTTTTGCACTGAATGCTTAATTGAACATTTCACCTCAGTGGTGAATGAAATCTCAAAAAAGACAAAAGCATTAATTTAAAAGTTGCAAGACTCTTGAACAGTAGAATAAAGAAAAAATGCAATTTATCCATTCTGTTTTTTTCTGTTGCTTTCTCTTTCTTCTCTCGTATGAAACGTTAGAAGAAATCTTGTCAAGGAATCAAATGTTATGTGCATACTGCCAATAAAATTCTTTTGGTTGAACATATTAACTTTCCAAACAAATTACTTACTGAGAGCTCTAGTCTGGTTTGAAGAGATACTTTTTAACAGTATGATCAAGAGTATTGGATGACATTTGTCTATCATTATAACAGATTATGGCAAATCAAGTATTTCTTAAAAACAGGGTGGATTTTCCGGAGTTCAGTTTCTGATGTAGTTTCAGAAACCTGAACATCTGTATTGTTCTTGCTAGCTTTAAAAAAAAAAAGGTAGTGAAAAATGAGACTCTCCAAATAATTTTTACTCCCTCTGCCTTTTTGTAGCTTACTATTTTTTTTTTAAAAAAAGTGGGGGTTTCCTGTGTTTCATATGGAAACCATGCATAAGGATCTTCTTCAAATACCACAGCTAAGAAACACATGCTAACTAATTATAAGGTGTAATGTGCCATAGTTCTTTTTAAAAATGTGTGCTTATGTTCATTTCTCTCATAGTGAGAAAATGAAGTCTTCTGCAACCAGCAAGATCTCACTCACACAATTAATCAGCCTGCTATACCTATTGGGACACATAGCATCTGATTGCCTTCAGTGTGTAAATTATAACTGCATTTCTATACTATAAATTCAGAGCCCTATCAGGATCTGTTAAATGTTCTGGTTTTTTAAAAAAATTGTTTGACTGTTGCATCACTGGTGAGATTTGCTTCTCAAAAACAGAGAAAGAAGAATCATTTATGCATTTTTAATTCTGACAAATCCATGAAAAAGACAATAAAATGCATGTATGTCTATGTGTATGTGAAGATAAATGCAAGCCATAGCTGCAAACTTTGAACCTTCAACTATAGCTAATTACAGCTGTATGTGTATGTTGCATCATAGGCTTGGCTTCCAGAAGTTACAAACATGTTCTCCATTCATTTAAGCAATGTTTAGTAGATGCACGTAAATTATTCACTAAGGTAAAGTGGTCCCATTTAAGGATATGAAACACCACAGCCTGTTAAAGATTTGCAAGGCTGCTTTGAAGTATTCCTGAAATCTTTTAACTACGTATTGAAATAACCCAAAGCTCATCTATTGCAGAGGTGAAAAGTAGTGTTTTCTTGTGTGCAGAAATGGCTATAGCCACTTTATGGTTTCAACAAGTAGGCCTAGAAGAAAACTTTGATCTTTAAATAAGCAACTAAGCAAAAGTGAGCCCAACACCACAAATTTGAGAAGAAGCAGGACAGCAAATACAGGCTCCTATGCTGCTCTTTTGGCACTGTCTCTCATACTACATTTTGAAGAAATTCTGTAGAATAGGCCAAGCAAAGGATTGAAGTACGATCAGCTAAACACAGCCAGACTCTCCCCTCAAACTCCTGGTGAGCGTTTGTTAGGGATATACCCTAGCAGGATCTGCAGGGCAGTCAGGCAGGCAGGCAGAATATGTGAGATAAGTGTTTTTGTAGCTTACACTCAGTAAACCAGATACACAGTGCCTATTAAATAGTTTTATTCCAGCAAGAGTTAAAGCATAGTCAAAACAGTCCATATATCATTCACTTAGTTCAGTCCGTCCAGGGATTATTCATTTGCAAATTCCAGTGTCGAAAAAGAGAGGTCAGTACACTTACAAAGATCAGTCCGGTGATATATCTCCTCGCAGTAGAGAGATATGCAGAACTCAAAAACTCCTCTCTTCCTTGAGCAATTCTTCAGTAGGGAAATACGCAGCTAACAAACCATCAATGTAATCCATTCCAGTAATTGTCAGTAATTGCCAGCAAACAGTCAGGGAATCATCAGCATCTCGTCAGCATCTCTTGCTCCCTCTTATGGTGGTTTCACACCACACCCAAAATTACATGCTTTGCATTTAAAGTGACACACACTTAAACTAACAATCATAGCTTATATATATTATTTTACCCAAACTACGTTAGGTGACCTATGTTATACCTAACAGCGTTTCAGTAGTGAGGGCTGATTTCACAATGATGAAATGTGAAGCTCCACAACCCATAATTCCTTCTTCTCCAAGTCAGCATTTACCACATCTTACATTTTCCAATCAGTTTGAATAATTGTACTATACTACAGTTTGAAAATTTTTCCTAATAATAATTGTACTATACTACAGTTTGAAATTTTTTTCTTCTTTCTTTTGTATAACATGGTTCATTTTGATGATATATAATACAGCTTTTAACATTCATCATTCCTCTAAGCCAGAGGTGTCAAACTCATGTCATCAAGGTGGCATCATATGACGTATTGGAACTTTTTTCCACTTTTCTAAACTGGGTGTGGGCATGGCCAGTGCATGACACATCTGGCCCACGGGCCGGGAGTTTGACAGCCTTGTTCTAAGCCTTCAAAATTTGCTGCTTAGAGCTAATATAGGTAATCTTCAGTTAGCAACTGCCTTGGACAGTGATCATTCACAGTTATGAGAATAATAAAGTAACTTTTCAAATAACACCCACATTTACCAACTTTGTAGCATCATCACATGTTTATTATTATGGTCAGTTAAGCAACTATATAAAGTATTGTTGTATATAGAATTGTAAGCACAATCATAGCCATGCGATTTTTCACTTAGCAACTGCTTCATTTAAAGACAAAATAGCTTGTCCCAATACTAAATGAGAACTACGTGCGTGTGTGTGTGTGTGTGTGTGTGTGTGTATGTATATATATATATATATATTATTTAAGTTTTCGCAGGTACTTAAATGTATGGTATTTGGCTTTGTTCGGGTATTTTCCCACATCATTATAGTTGTGCTTTTAAAGTTGTAGCAATGTTTCAGCAGAATCTCATCTGCCATCATCAGGCTTCTGTATTGTGTTCTCGGAGAAGCACAAAGCCGAAGACACAAGCCTGAAGATGACGAATGAGATTTCATTGAAACATCGCCAGGATACTTCCAATTTTACATGGGAGAAAACCCGAATAACCAAAGATAGATGGATAGATAGATAGATAGATAGATAGATAGATAGATAGATAGATAGATTCTTTGATGTACAACATTTTATTTTGTGGCTATTCAAAGTTACAACCTCTGACCTCTGATGTGTGACCTCTAACTGTTTTCACATGACCATTGCAGCATCCCCATGGTCATGTGATCAAAATTCAGATGCTTGGCAACTGATTCACATTTATGACTGTTGCAGTCACCTTTTGCAACCTTCTGATGAGCAAAGTCAGTGGGGAAGCCAGATTCACTTATCAACCTATTGCTAACTTAACAATTTCAATGAGTCACTTAAGAAACATGGCAAGAAATGTTATAAAATGAAGCAAAACTCACTTAACAAATGTCTGACTTAGTACAGAAATTTTGGGCTCAATTTGTGGTCATTACTCAAGGACTACCTATATTTTGACAAAATGCATTATGCACATTCAGGTATTTTTGTCAGTGAACTAATTAAGTATGACATATGAACCAGATTAAGTGACTTGATCCAGAAACCATGATTGCAGTGTACAAAACTTAGTAATGAGTAACAATCAAGAAGGCGACATTGGAACTTGAAGGAGAAGGTTAGGTCAGAGTTTGCAAGCATTCATGATATACCAAGGGCTGAAACCTTTGGGAACAGGGTCACATCTTAGTGCAGTATAATAATGAAACTGAAATGTAACCATGGTGTAAGACACTTCATTTTGAAGTGTTTTTTTTTTAAGAATAGAATAGAATAGAATAGAATAGAATTCTTTACCAGCTGTGTGATTGAACACACAAGGAATTTGTCTTTGGTGCATAAGTGCTCAGTGTACATAAAGAAAAAATAAAATACATTCATCAAGAATCATAAGATACACTTAGTGATAGTCATAGGTTACTAATAAGCAATCAAATCATACTAGGGAACAAATAAAACAATATAAATTGTAAAGATACAAGCAGTACAGTTATAATTATAAGTTGAAAGAGATAGGTAATAAGAAGGATTAGAAGAAGAATAGTAATACGGTCTTATTAAATAAATTAACCTTGTGTCTAGTTGTTCTGGTGTGCAGTGCCCTATGGTATTGTGCAAATAAGTTCATTAAGAGTTGATATTAAATAATTGTTTGCCATTTACGTTAGTTATTTTACAGTTGTCCTGCTTGAATCATCTTTTAAGAAAGGGTTATTTTTATGAAGTATATTCCTTTTATTTCTTGTACCTTGCTTTTAAAAAATAAATGTTTTAAGAAGAAATATAGAAAAACTATAATATTTAGGCCTGTGTCAAGCCCAAACATTTTCCTATTTCTTTCCAAATAACACAATATCGAATTACTGACTGTAGCATCCCCATTCCCGTCTCTCTGAAATATTCATGAATTTATTGTTTTTCTTCCACAATAATATAAGATACAGTAAGAAACCATTAACATTATTCTTATTTTCAATTTTATACAAGGAAGAACCATCATTTAGTATGGTTCCTTTACAAATCACTTCTGGAATGGAGCCCTGGAATTTATAAATACAAAGTTTCAGTCTTGATCCCTGTGTTTCTGAATAATTTACAAGATTAATAGGAAAGTATAAAATGGCATTTTTAATCTAATCCTATAGTATTAGTGGGGGTAAAGTGGTAGTGCAGGGATGGCTGGTGTTCCGTAAAACCTCTAACTTCCTCTAACCTCTAACAATCACAGAAATAGCTTATACCCTTTCAGATATTGCCAAATATCTGAATTCTGAGTATTCTCATAAATGGCTTTCTTATTGACAGAAATTGTACTTTGGTAAACTCTAGAAAATCATTTTGCCATCCCAGTTTTGCTGCTTCATGAATGATTTGGACTAAGAATAGAGGCTGGAGGCTGTCCTTAATATTTTTTAATGAGGAAAAACATCAACCAGTGAATAATTAAAAAAATGGGAGTGAGTGTTATGCAGATACGTAGAGCTAGAATTTTACATCTTCCTTCCTTCCTTCATTCCTTCTAGACACCTATCTTACTAGTAAGTGACTCTGGCTACATATAGCAATGTCATTTTAAAAATGCATAGTAACAGTCACTATTAAAAATAATAATAAAAAGGCACACAAAACAGGAAATAATTTATTTTTTATGGTTAAGTCATTCCTTTTTAGACTGCATAAAGCCTAATTAAGGTTAAGCCTAATTAAGGTTACACAATAATGTTTCTAGTGGAAAATCCCACTCCTAATTTTCAGCAATTGCACCACTGAATTTTGGAGATGGCTTTCAGTAGAGCACAATCGGTACTTTGCCCAGGATCTAGTTAAGGTGTCAAAGGCCTATGAAAACATTTCAATTCTGATAATGCAAAATGAAAAAGTAAAAATTCAAATTATAATTTGTACTTATTGAATTACTGTACATGTATTGAAATAGCATTTAATGGCAGGGATAAGAATCAGAGGTGGGGTTCAAAATTTTTAATACTGGTTCTGTGGGTGTGACTTGGTGTGCATGGCAGGGAAGGATACTATAAAATCTCCAATCAGAGGTAGTATTTGCCGGTTCTCTGAGCTACTAAAAATTTCTGCTACTGGTTCTCCAGAACTGGTCAGAACCTGCTGAATAGCACCTCTGATAAGAATGAAGGTTCTTGAAAAAATTGTTCCAGTATTTGGTCAGAGGGCTACAGAAAGGTGAGTCAAGGCTGCTTGCAGTCCTAAATTTTCAACCTGGTTTTAGTAAATGTAAAGGATTTGGGCTTGCTTTGTCCCTGCTAAGCAATTACATGAAGAAATTGGGCAGATATTTATTTTGTTTTGTATTATACTTGAATCAGGAATTCTGATTTAATTGATCCTGTTAATAATTAGTTTAGCCTAATACTGTAATCAAACAGATTTGCCTTAAAGCAATGATGTAACTCCGCCTTATTCAGCAAATGAACAGAGAATAGAAAAAAGTTGTCCCTGAAAACATATAACATTATAGAAAGGAAGTGGATTTCTCCCTGTCTGATTTCCTATCCATTCTTCACTTATCTGGGATTACCCTAACAGAAGATATACCACTGTTTCCAGGAATTTTATAGAATCAGTATTGACTCATTCTTGACAAACAGCATTTCTTCTTCGTAATAGCATTGTAATTCTAGTTTTCATACTACTTTCTAATTACATAATAAACCTTATCAGACAATAGTTTGGTCAATTTTTTAACATGGCAATTTGCTGCACATATAATTTTTAAAAGTCCTGAAATATATAGGATTTTCTCTTTTGCCTGTTATAATAGCAGTGATTTTCTTAGCAGCTGACACAGTTCAAAATAAATACTTCTACAATGTGGGTGCAAGAAATGGGCTGAATGTAAACTTAGGTCATCTATGGTGGCACAGTGTTTTAGGCTGATTCTGCCACTGCCAGGAATTCGATCTTGACCAGCTCAAGGTTGACTCAGCCTTCCATCCTTCCATGGTTGGTAAAATTTTGAGCCAAATTGTTGGGGGCAATATGCTGACTATGTAAACTGCTTAGAGAGTGCTGTAAAGCACCATAAAGCAGTATATAAGTCTTAAGTGCTATTGCTACTGCTAAAATATTTTCATGCAGACCTATATAGTTTTATTACAAATGACAATAATCTGAACTTTGAACCCGTTACTGTTACTGGTCTGTTAATGATCAACCAGAAAGAAAACATGAAAAAGAAAATAACTTTTTCATTTAAAAATGAAGTACTTGTACTTGATCAGAGTCAGAATAGATAAGTACATTTGAATATTACTGCCAACTGGACTGTGGGCTGTCTCCTCCTTGCTATCAAAATATGAGTTTTGTTTGCAATCTGAGTCTCAATCCACAGGCATATAGAATTGTAGGCAATATAGCTAAAATTAGTGGAGCTTCTGTATTGATCCAAAGTTTTGCATTTTCTTTTTTTTTAAACAGTATCGATGGAATCCTATGTTGAATATTATATATTATACAATCAAAACTTTTAAGAACTATGAGTTTGTTGCTCATTTAATTCTGTAATTAAAGGGCAACAGGCAACCTGATGACCTAACCAAAAAAAAACCCGCCTTCTCCAGCTTTGTGCTATCATCTATAGAGACTATAACTTCCAGAATTCTGTTTTTGGTCTTACATAATTACATACATAATTGGACATTTTTGTTTGTAAGTAATACTTAATAAAATTTCAAAAGAAAAAGGCAGGAATGCAGTATTCAAGGGAAAATGCTTCATTATTCAGTATTTTTAAAACAATTTACATGTGTCACAAAATGCTTTTTTAAAAAAAAGTTTATTGATATTGTGCTTTGATATGCCATGTTGCTGTGCAAATCACTTGAAAGAAGTGTTTCAAACTATGTGGGACAAATTAACTGCTACGAAGGTACAGGTGCTTTGTAGATTATTCCCTGAGAAGCTCTTCCCAGATGTGTCTCATGCATATGCATACACACCCATTTTGCTTTGGGGAAAACCTTTCTTTTTCATGGACTGTCTCTTTGCCTCTCTAGGTCTCATCATGGGATTAATTTTACGGTATGCCACAGCTCCATCTGATTTTGAAATTGGAAATGTCTATGACTGTGATAAACTCAAGGCTGGCTTACCCACTCTGCTTGTCAACATCACAAATCAAGTGTATGAATATCAGTACAGAAGGGAAATTAGCCAGCTTAATGTCAATGCACACCAAGGGAACGCAATGCTGCAAAAGGTAAGATAATGTCTTCTCAGTGTAGGTGATCTTACATTATTGTTATTTCTGATTGATTACAATTCTCAAAAGAAGAGAATCAGAGTGATTTAAATGTGCAGCCCAAAAAGTTTATTTCCCATATTCATTGTCTATTTGCAATCAGAAAATAAGCACATCCATTTCACCCTTTCTGCTTTCACACTTCAAAGGCTGTGGTGAATATAAGAAGATTTTACATGGAAGTCATGTCATGCAAATAATGAGAAACTAGCTATCAATCTCTGTAAGTTAAATTACTGTTTATCAGTCTTCATAGTTTAAGTTCCACCATTCACTCTGTTCAGAAATCTGGGATCCATTAAGACAAAAACAAACAAAAAACCCATGTTGGTTCCTAAACCACTCTGACACCTTCTCTTTCTTTTGAATTGATCAGTTATTTTCCCTGTTATTCCTGAGTGACCTACTCCTCTAAACTCATTTTATAGAAGGTTAAAATGTTTGGGAAACAATATCTGAAATTTCATTGTCTCTTTCTAAATAATATTTTTTCTTTCCTTTTAATAAAGGAAATTTCAATAAGTAAATAAAGTAGCAAACCAACTACAGAAAGTGGATTACAATAATCATTTTCTAATTTAGAGAACTTGAACATTTGGCTTCTTAAAAGTGTGTCACTTTTCTTTCTTCTGGGCATTTCTTCAGCAAGCTGTGTTTGCAGCTATGAGCATGTTGCGATTTTTTAATAAAAGGCATGTCATTATTCTCCCTCATGTTAAAGAAGAAAGGTGAATGAAATGCTTCTCTTGGTTTGATTAAAGTACAGGTTAATGCACCATTTGAATTTGTCAGTATGAAAATCCTTAAATTATACAAGTTCTTGCTCCTAATTTCCTCTCATAAAGATGACAATGCAGCAAAATGTACTTTTGCTGTTAATGGCCAGCTAGTTGACATTAGTTTAATAATCCAAAGTAAGCAGAATGCAGAACTTTTTTTAAAAAAATGCTGAGTTTTCACTTCCTGTTTATCAATCAAGCTATCTGCTGGACAAAAGAAAAAGGAAGTCATTTTCTAGTCCGGCTGTATTGTTACAGAACTAAATAATTCATCTAGGTTCATAAAATGAAGGCATTTTATGGAAACAAAACACTGCAAAACATTTGGCTAATGACATGTTCTTGCTTTTAAGGTTATTAATCTAGCAGAACCAAACTGAAGATACAGTTGAATTCAGATCCTTACAAAATGATATTTTATATAGTCATTTCTGTTTTAAATTGTAAAATGGTTATTAAAACAAAGTGTAAAAAATACAAGCTGCAGACATAAAAATGCTGAATAGAGGTATGAGTATATGGACTGCACTGGCAAAATGGTATCAAAATTATTCATGCATTCATTAAAGATTTCCCATTGTCACCATTGTTAAAAGTAAAGCAGAATCAATCTATAGATTTAAATTTTCCCAGTGAAATTTTAATAATGTCTGGCAATTTATGCTCCTGGAAACAAGATGTCTTTTAAAAGAAGTATGGTTTAATAGTTTGCAATTAATTTAAATCCAATGGTTTTATTAGATCTATTTAAAGTATATTTGACGTTACTAGAGAACATATTTTGATAAAATCCATAAAACTTCCTATGCAATCTGACATCTTGTTTCCGTGCTCTTAAAATTAACTATATTAGACCTGATTATTACATCCCCCATATGTTTTTTTGATTTGGCTCTCTTATTAGATTAAGGCTGCTAATTTTCTTTATCATGCAAGAGCAAAGCTGCTGAAAAGGTGGATTCAGGGGACCTCCAAAAGATTTATTCATTTTAAAGCCAGCTTCATGCCCTACAAAGCTGGAAGAAGTTGAAAGTAAAGCCAATTTATATCCAGCTGAATTGCAACATGTGTGACTGAAAACTAATAGACTTGTCCTTTCGTTACACTGAAATTCAAGAACTTCTCAGCTGTGGAATTCTTGCATCATTCCCCCTCTGTCTCTAGACTCCACAAGCTTCTTTCTCCTCCCAATAAAGTAGTTTTTCTCAGCCTTGTTATGTTTATGTGGACTTCAAATCCCAGAGTTCCTCAGGCAGCATTTTAAATTGCCCAAGGTTGAGAAACAGGGCCATAGAATATCTTATTTCAGGGCTCTTTGAAATACAACAAACAGCATAGCACTTTTCCTTCCCCAACTATTGCTCAATCCAGTTTTTGAGAAATCACTCAAGCAAATGCAAAAAGATGAGATTAAAAACATTAAAATTACAAGGGACAAGGAAGGAAAGATTTACAACATATCAGCATTCTTTCTAAAATTAAGATTGCATATCTTTTGAGCTTCAAATCTTAGTCAACTAGATACTATTGATTAACCAAGTTACATTAATTTTTATCACTTTTATTTGAAAATCTGTGCTTTTTAAAAAATTCTTCATAGTTTTCTCCCTTTATTTCCCAAATAAATTTTGTGTATTTCCATCTGGACATTATGCTGCTTACTTTAAAAATGAAATATATGAACATTTCATGCAGAAAACTTCACAGTTGCTCTACAATCCCTTGTGTTCTTTAAAATTTCATAAGATTTTCTTACATTTTGTGTTTCTGGGATTGAGAAAACAAAAAAGGCCTTAAAACACTTCTCATTTTTTCAAGAGTTAGCATGAAGGGAAGATTATTTGCAGACTGCCTTAGAGTCACCCAATTAGACAGACTAAGATGTGCCAGGAGATTCAACCTGAGTGCTAACAACTAGCCACAATTCTTTTTTTTACTAAAATGTCATCAGTAGGGGAAGTCATCTTCCATCCCACATTCAAAACTGAAACTTTCTTCAAAAGTCCCCTTGTGCTGTCCAGACAGGTTAGAGTTAATGGGATTTGGGATAGTTAATTAGGAATTGAGAGCTGTCCCCTTAAGGGAATGCATCATGATAAATGTAGTTAAGGTACACCCCTTGATTTTGTAAAGGCTTTACCAGAGGATGGATCTGGAGCACAGATTCCCTACGCTCAAATCTCTATCTCCATTCAAGCTCTGAAGATTATTAATTTGAACCCAAGTCATTTTTGCATCATTCTTTATCTACTTTCTTATGTAATCATATATATTTCTGAAAAAACTACTGAAAAGCAGGATATGATATCTTAAATTTACATGGTCATTTTACCATGTTTCTAAAATATATAGAAGACAGTGACCTAGCTTATATATTATACTATATTATACTTTATTTAATCCTAGGTTACTGTGTTCACACAATACACTAAACCACAATGCACTAAACCAAAACCAGACTACATTATAATTTCTACAATGTGTGAAGTAAAGTAAGGCAATACAAATTAAGAAAACAGTTTAGGTAACATATGAAATTTCCTTGCAATAGTTTGCTCTTTATTTAAGTATCTTGGACACTAGTAAATGAAAGGTCCTTAGAGGCAAAGTGGTACCATTGCCATAGTACCAAGCATTTCCTGTGGGTCCAGGTGGGAATAGAAAGCATAACAAAGGATTTTATGTTGCTGCTAATGAGTAGAAACACTCTTACTGAAATTTCAACTAATCTTTCTGTTAAATAAAATTGATTTACAATAATAACAAATCTTCGAAAGACAGATTTTAATTTGTCCTAGATCATCATTAGGGAATGGCCAGACAAAAGATCAGTTGCTATAAATTATAATTATTACTGAACATTGTAAGTGTTAGGTAATTGTTTGTATTTTCTCTGAGTTTGAAAATTGGATAGATTAAGACTAATGCAATGATTCAAACTAATCCTTTTACATGTTACTTAGGAGATTTTTTAGTGTGGTTCTAGAGAGATTGGACTGATACTTTCTGATACATATGGACCAATCACTTGCTGCCTTTGGATTGCTAAAGAAAGGATAAAGGATCAGATTCACATGACAGTCAACACTGCTTTGGAAAATGCACTTGTCTATCTACTCCTCAAAAGGCCAGCCTTTGAGTCAGTGTTAATGAATAACCACTGTTCACTTTCCAACCCTTCGTTCTTAGAAAAGGTTGTTGAGAAATTTAGGCTTCTTAAAGGAGGTTTAAAAATTAGAAAGAACTCTGATAGAAATCTGGACCAATGGCTGTCTGATTTCAGGGCTGACATTGGGTGGAAATTGCACTGATTGCTCTTATTGAAATCTAATGACAAGAGTTGAATGGGGAATGCATTCCTATCCTTTTGGGCCACTCAGACATTTGCAGCACTGTTAACTACAATATTCTTCTTGGCTACTAAGCAAAAGTTGGGAGTTGAAGGTCTTATATTACTGTGGTTTTGTTGCTTCCAGTGATCACTTGCAGAAGGGATATGTCAGACCAGTGGTGGGATTCACCTATTTGGGAAAACCATTTGTTAACTTTCTGAGAAGTTTGGAGAACCAGTTGTTGGAAGAAATCTCCTTCCAACAGCCTTTTGGCTTTTTTTCCACTTTACAGGGCTAATCCTGTCAGGAAGGCGGAAGGAAATATACTGGTATGCCTCTGTGTTATTGCTAGTCTAATCCGTATCTTTATTGCCCTGCTTACAGAAATTGCCTCTCCAGTTAAACCTTGCTACATTGTAACTAACAACTAATGGTTCTTGGCAGCCCAGACTTTCTGCACCTGAGCTCCTTCCCTGGAAGAGCTTGATTTTCATAAAGGGGAAGGGTTGTTTTAAGTTTATTACACTGCTTTAGTGGTTCCTGGCACTGTCCTTTTGGGGTGTACTTCCAAGAGCCAGAAAGCAAGCTTGGCACTCTTTCTGATTTTTTCACTGCCTTTCTGGGGCATGTGGTCTTTCCTTAAATCTGGATGATTTCCTTAGGATATCTTGTGAGGTGAGACCATCTTTAAGTGGTGCAAATGGATCTAAGGATTGCTTCTCCTGGGTGGGAAAGGTTGCTTTGTCAGTTCACTGAGCACAGAAGTCTTTTGTCTTTGGGGATTCTTCAGTCATCCAAGTCATGGTTTTCCCAAAGCAGTGGTGTCATTCTACCGGTTTGCCCCAGTTCTGGCATACCGGTAGCACTGAAGGTCAGTGAAAAATGATCAGTTCTCTCTGATGAACTGCTGTTGGGGCCACCTGCCTGCCCAGGCTCCCATACTGACTTTTATTCCATGAATTTAAAGCACAGCTGCTTTGCGTGGCAGATTGCCGCATGGCAGCTGTTGAAGCTACAGGGAAAGTGCAGGATTGCAGGAGGTGAGTAGGAAAGCCTCTGCTTATGCGCAAAGTATGTGTTTGGCATGCACATGTGTGCGCAAAGTGTATGTGTGTGTGTGCAAAGCATGCCCACCAAGCCACGTCCACTTTGGGACATCACTGTCCCAAAGGTGCTTTTTTCAAGAGGCAACTGGACTTTCTTGGTTTCTAGAAAGTCAAGCTTCCTCTTGAAAAATCATCTTTGGGACAGGAATCTCTTGCATTGCTTTGAAGTGGCCAAGGTACATGATGTTCACTGATAGTAAGATTATGAATAAGGAAAAAACAGACTCTGATTCATTTCAAGCAAGACAGACTGGCTGGAAATTTCAGCAGGTATAAAATACAGCTGGCCTGTCTTTTTAAACTTGGAGATCTGTGGATAAATTATAGGGAGTCCATGAACATCGATAGCAGAAAAGTTACAGATTTATTTTCACTACTTTGTTTTAGGTATTTACACACATTGTTCTGAAAAGTAATTCATGATTTTTAACAGATTCTCAAAAGGGTTCATGTCACAAAAATTAAATAACCTTTTGTTTACCTTTTGTAAAGACTTCTCTCCTCTGGGGCAGTTTGGTCCCCAAAGCAAGATTTATTCCCACTTCCACCTTTCTTTCATAAAAAAAAAACGTCCTGAGCATTTCAGAAAGCATTTGATTCGGTATGAAATCATTGGTTCATTTTTAAAAAATTATCATGTACATTATTACATTGTGGTATTACTTTTATTGTTAATTTGAATTTTATAGATTCACCAGAATATATCTTGCACTGTGACAATAAATAAATCTCAAATAAGTTAGGAGGCTAAGGTTTTCTTTCCACCAGTTTGATGTTACCATGACCTTCCATGCTCCTCAATCTGACCCCCATCCCCCAGATGGAAATTTTCCCTTCAAATGTCTTCCCTTGGGATTTAGTTGCTATTGCTTTGAAGTAAATTTCAAAAGATTTTTTTCTTTCAACACATTGAATAAGAACCGATGGAATAAAAATGAGATAGTCCTAATATTCCAAACAATGGAGCAGTTATTTAAGCTGCAAGTCCTGAGATACAGACGTCTGCTCCCCAAAACCATGAGCCACCCAAGCAGCTTGCTGCACAGTGTGCAGGAAAAGAAACTGCCCTATCACCCACATTGAAATAAGATTCAGCTTTTACTCTAGCTGGGTTCTGTATCTGAAAAGATGAAGTAGCAACATCATACCTTTTATTCCCCAAACCCCAAAACCTTTAACATTAGACTTTCTACTATTGACCTTGAGGTCTGTAGGGGTGTGCATAAACGCACCAACGTGCCTACCGTCCCTGTCCTATTCTTCCTTTTATTTTTCTTATATGTATCCATGTACTCATAACTATGTTTTTACTTTTACCTATTATCTTGTAAGCAATTGACAAACCAAATAAAATAAAATAAATAAAATATCAGGCTGGTTCCAATTAATGGCAACCTGGAATATGTGTTCCTGAAGGAATTGTTGGGTAGAAATGGTTGTACCCTAATAGAGAAGGTACATTACCTCTTTTCTCCAACCCTTGTTTTTACATTGTTCTGATTTTTGTAATGATAATCCATTTTATATTTATTACTGCTATTATGTGTTATTTTATCTTGATTTAAGCTGCTCAGAGTTGCCAGAACCACAAGACAGACCACAAATAAATTTGATAAACAAACAAACTTCCTGAAATGTCATGTAGCAATTGCATTCAAATTTGTTTTAATCACCTTCAAGTCAAGCTTTGCAGAAAATGAAATGTGGCAGTATTCTTCTTTTTACTTTTTAAGTTCATTTGAATGATTTTCTATTTTTAAATTTGCACTTCAGATTGGATCCTGCAACATTACCCAAAGACATGTATAATTTGCCTTCATTTACAATTTGCTTATACATTTTTCCCTATACATTTTTCATCTGTACTAAAAATGTATAAGGAACATCTTATACATTATTTATATATTTTTAGTACAGGTGAGAGACCAGAAAAAAATGTTTTCCTAAATATTGATGAGTGTTATTGATGTAAAATGTTAATGTAAACTATGATACTTTTTGAAGATCTAATACTTTGTGAATATTTTATGTTTCTTTTATCTTTTTCTTGTTCTTTCTGGCAGATGACCTTTGATCCTTCCATCTTCTTCAATGTTCTATTACCCCCCATTATTTTTCATGCAGGATACAGTTTAAAAAAGGTAAGTGGTTTCTTCTAATAGTAGTAAACAGTCTGTTACTTATGACTGGGGCCAAAATGTTTAATTTGACCAGAGAGATCAAATAAAGAAAAATAAAAATGTTTCCAACTGTGAATTACCATTTTGATTCTTTTTATAATACAGTTAAATCCTATAGACTTTCCCTACCAATGCTTAAATTAAGCCTGCAATATAAAAAGTGGCAAATCTGTAGACCTAATCATAAAAAAAAATAATTTGGCTCTGTGTACGAGCTCAGTCCTGGCTGCATCCATTCACTGGATACTTTTACAATTACAATATTGCAATACAGTATACAAAACACTTCAAGTCATTCTCTGTCTTGGGAAAATCATTCAGAATTTCTAAACTCAGAACCTGCTAAATACCACCTCTGTAGAGGACCTTTCTCAGCCCAACTCACCTCAAAGAGTTGTTGTGGGAAAAATGTGGGTCAGTTATGTTTGCTGCCTTGGGTTATTTGTAAAAATAATAGCGATGGGATATAAAATAAATAACATAATAAAATATATAGCATTCAAAATATTTTCTTTTTCTTTTTTGTTTCCTAGAGACACTTTTTTCGCAATTTAGGATCCATTTTAACATATGCATTTTTGGGAACAGCTGTCTCTTGTATCGTAATAGGGTAAGTTAAATCCATTTTCCATTTTGTGCTGTAATGTCAAACTGGAGAAAATATCTTTGAGGAATTGTATATTTCAGTTATACTATTTAAAAAATTGCAAGTAGTCCTCCTTTAGGTGCTACAATTGGGGCCAACAATTCTATTCCTAAATGCTGTGGTCACTAAGCAGGAAATCATATGATCACAAGGGACTTACATCACTTCTATTCAGTCATTAAATGAAACACTGCATTAAGCAAGGCATATGACTATGATTCGCAGTTTTACTTGTGCGTTCTCAATTAACTTTGCTTGTTGGAAGCCAATTGTAAAATACACAAGTAGCCATCATGTGATTGTGGGACACCACAATAGAGGTAAATGTGAAGATTTATGTTTGTAAATCAACCTGAGTCATCTCTAGACAAGATGAGAGGCATACAAATCTAATAAATAAATAAAATATACATCATTCATTTCATTACATAAATTGCAGTAAAGCTGAGTTTTTACACCATTGTAACTTTAAGTCATTAAATGAAACTGTTAGTAAGCAAGAACTACCTACATGTATTCTCCCTTCAGTGGATTTTTACTAAAATCCTCTGGTTTACTTGAATAATTTTATGTATACATGTTTCATCGAGGCGTATGCATTTATAGGCATTGTAGTTTGAATATTGGGTAAAACGATTATTTTTATATACAAGCAATACTCTCTAGCTAGATTATATTTCAGAATTTGAAACCAGTTAGAATGCCTTTTCTCATTTTTTAAAAAAAAGTTCAAAAATTTGTTTTTTTAAATTCAGGTCAGTCCTTATTCAATCCAATCCTCCCTTCTCTAATTTCTTCCTTTGTAGTTAACTGTAATTTCCTCCAACTGTTGTTAACTGATACCTCAATATTCTATGGAGATTGTACTAAGAGATCCAGGTTAATCTATGGCAACAAAAAAAAATGAGTGTCTGGTAGCACCTTTTCCAGTGAACATGTTTTATTAAAAGGCATTTTGAAACTTAGAGCTCAGTTCATCAAATACATAGAGTAACCAGGTGGATGTAGGAATTAAAGTGAAGTGAGAAAAGGGAGAAGAAGATAGTTGGTTATATGGACAGATTATGTGTAAGACAGATTATAAGTACCTTACCATTAAAATTGCAATATATTAACAACACACTGTATTTATTGAGACCATCTGAGAGGTCTACAGGCAAACACATAAAGTATGAGGCAATCTCAAAAGATCTCAACAAAGACAAAACAATCTACCTGGCTTTTTAACAATACAGTAGATAGATAACTTTTAAACATAACTTTTTATCTCATTAATGCCATTTGCCACCAGCATATAATGTAACTAAAATGAGAAAAACTGTTCTCATACGTTAAATACAGACCAAAAATATATGCCACGGGAAACAGTAATAATCAGTTTCTTTTGTATTTATCCATTTCATTTTAATAAAATTGGAGCTACTATCAAAATATGGAGGGAATCTTTTGGTCTCAAAATATTTCTTTTCATTTAGATTGTATGCATTATTCCCATTGGGTTCCAGCGTAAGCAAGATTATATCTAAGATTTTAGTGGGACCACAACGAATAGGAGAATTATATCTGTTTTTCAAGGATTTCTAGGATAGTTGGTCTTTTGAAACAAAAATTAGTAATGGTGGTTGTTGCTGCTGCAGCTTTAGCTTTTAACGGTGAGGCTTTTTTAGAATTTCTGAACAGCTCTAAAGATATGGCTCTGTTATGAGAAGGAAGGAACATAATGTTTTTTGCCACCTTGGATTACTTATAAAGTAATAAAGGCAGAACATTTCTTGATGCATCTCAAACTACAGAATGATAGGAAATCATACTACTAATTACTATAAGTACAAGTACAACAAAACTGTGGATGCACCCCAGCAACTGTTCGCAATACAATAAAACCAAAGCACTTAAAAAGGAAGATAAGAAAAATAGAGTACCAACATCTCCATTTGCAATTTGAGAGTACAATATCTACGAATATACACAAAATATACATCCTTCACTGACTGTAACGCTTCGCTGAGTATAATACACAAGAGATTGATTGTGCTGTAATATGTTATTATACATCTGAATGGGGTACTGAGATTTCACATCTTTTCACATCTTAATAAGGTAGTGACTTCGTGTTTATTTGCGGTTCAGATGGCCCAGGGAAAGAAACTATTTGTTAGTCTAGTGGTATGGGATTTTATTGACCTAAAATGCCATCTAGACAGCAGCAGGTCAAAAAGATAATTGCCAGGGTGTGAGGGGATAATATTACATAATTACAAAAATTAATTATTACATAATTACAATACATTGTAATTTTTCCATAATTACAATTACAAATATTACATAATTACAAAAGTAATTACATATTACTATAATATTTTCAGATGGTAAAATAAGAGATGGTATATTTTGGCACTGTAGCAGTGGAAGGAATTCTCAGCTTTTCTAAGAAGAAAAATGAAGAACTTGTTTTCATAGCTAATAGCAGCCATATGTTTATCACCCACAGTACCTTTTATATGTGATGTTATGTGATAGGATGCCATCTGTTTGAAAAGAATTACTGTAACAGCAAAGGGAAACTTCTCTATTTTGCACAAGTACTGTAAAATAATATAAGGAAGGAAGTATTCCCTTCATTCACTGATATTTTGTCCCAAAAATTAAAACTAAAAAAAATCAATATAATCTTACATATGAACTTATCTATTTTTTTCCAGCTGCTTCCAGCCCTTTCATATGTCAGTAAATACTGAGAAAATGTATAGTTGTTCATTTAACAACAAATGGCTGCAGTTTTCAGCTACTTAATTGTACCTGAAATCCTTAAAAATTTTCTAATTCTTGGAACTGTCCCTTTAGTTTTCATTTTTGTATCTGCTAGTTACCACTGATTGGCCAGATCCTTGTGATTCTCAGCTCCAGGTTTCAATTGGCTAGTGTCTGGAAATCTTGAAAAATTGCATAATATGGCCAAAATAGCAAGTGAGATAGATTAAAAAGAAAAAAACAAAATACGAAGATGGAAAAAGTGTTATTCTCTTCTCCCAAGCCTTGATGCCAATTAATGGGCTCAGTATTTCTATTTTGAAAACTTTTTTTTAAAAAAAACTAAGAATATACATTATGTGTATCACAGAACACTAACTAAGTAAGTCTGAACTAAAATGTATTTATTGAAATTCTAAATGAGCATTTGTAGCTGATAATCAGACATGGCTCTATAGAAAAGTATACATATAGTTCAGGGATAAATTATGCAGTCCTTGGTGCTGTTTGAGTTTGATTGTTTGCTTGCACAGTTTCATCACCTGACTAGGTATCATAATCATAAAGTATAGTATTGCTCCCTGTCTATATACAGTAACTTATCCTGCCAGTGTTGGTGGGGGTTTGGTTTTCTCATTGGTAGTTCCTTGATTAGGTTATTGTTGCCTGCTTGATTGTTTGACTGGTGATATCTGCTTATCTGGACATTGGCTGTTGGAGAGGATATGCTCTGGTCATTGTGTTTCCTTCTTAGCTTTTTCTATTGTCTCTTTCAATGCTGTGTAAATATGGGTTGTTTCTGTGTTTATTGATAACTGATTTATCTGAATGCCAGGTTTCTAAGAATTCTCTAGCATTTTTGGATTCAGGATGATTATGGTTTCCCAATTGAAACTATGGTTGAGTCTTTCCACGTGTTATGAGTTTTCATTGTCTTCGGAGTGCTAATTGGTGTTCATGGATGCACTCTGTTGGTCTTCTGCCTGTCTGTTCCTATATAATAGCTGTTATAGTCCTTACACTGTATGTTGCAGATGATTCCTGATTTGTTTTGTTTTTCTTAGACTACTGGGTCTTTTGGTTTATCTGAGATATTTTTTCAGGGATTTAGTTGGCTTATGTGCTCAATGTAATAGTTGTAATAGTCTTGGTTGTTTCTGAGAAATTTTTGACATATGATAGTGTTATCTTTTTCAAAGATTGTGCTAGTTGCTCTATAGTGGGATGTTAAATTGATAATGGAGTATTTGGTAAGTATGGATTGTTTTTCTATAGATTTACATTTCTAATTTGCTGTCATTTCTTCTGCTGAGATTATTCAGGAAAGTGAGAGAATTGTTTTCTCTTTCCCTTGTGAATTTTATTTCTTTGAAGAAGTTGTTGATAGTTTCATGTGCCTTCTCTAGTTTTTCTTTTTTATTATGATGAAGGTATCATCTATATATTGGATCCATGCTTTCAGTTGAATGTGTTGGAATACTATAATTTCTAGACACTGAATTACAGACTCAGCTATGGATTCTGAAATGGTGAAGCCCTGGGTATACTTTTAATTTGTTGGTATATTTTTCCATCACATTAAAAGTAGGCATAGGGAGAGATTGATAAGGTTCACAATTGTGAATATTTTGATCTTAATGAATTTGTTTAGGTCTGGTGTGTTGTGTAGTACTGCTGTCATGAATTATTTCACTAGTTCTGGGCTGATGGTATAAAAAGTGCTGTGACATTAAATTAAATCATAATTTAATGTCCTATTTTTAGGTCTGATTTTCTGGAGTTTGGAGTTGGTAGAATATTCACTCCCATCTGTAAAATCTTCAAATCTTTTTTGTAAGTTATTTGATGATGTTTGTATGTTGTGTGATAGTCATACATTTGAAGAAAGAGGTATGTTAGGATCAGGGGTGAGATGCTACCGGTTCTGCTCGGCTCTATAGAACCGGTAGCTCTGAAGAGCAGCAGACACCAAACCAGTTCTGTGTTTTCTGCTGTTTAGCCCACCCATTTGCCCAGGCTTTTACCTGTCCTTTATTTCCTGCTTTTTCAACCTCAGCTGCTTTGTGCGGCACAGCACAAAACATAGTCACTGAACTGGTAGTAATATTGGTTGAATCCCACCCCTGTTTAGGATTGTGTATTTTGGGGCATTCATAGAAGCATGGAAGGATGACTCCACTGCTTTTCATCTAACATTGTTCTTCTTTTTTGTC